TATCTCCTGTGGCCACAGGAGACGCAGGCTGACGTGCAGCCTGGTGGCACCAGCCTTCCTGGGGGGTTTCCAGCAGTCAGGGAACTGCTTTTGTTTCGCTCTTCCTCAAGGGCTGCTGTTGTGCTTTGACCCAGCAGGCAGCTGGGCACCACGCAGATGTTTGCTCACTCCCCCTCCAGGGGATGGAGGAGAGAATTGGAGAAAGGTAAAGCTCAGGGGCTGAGATGAAGACAGTTTAATAGGGCAGAAAAGGAAAGGAAACATAATAATAATGATAATATACAAAGCAAGTGATGTGCAATGCATTTGCTCACCACCTGCTGACCAGTGCCCACCCTGTCCCTGTTCTGGCTGTGTTGAATCACCTGGAGACATCAAAAAGCTTTTCTGTGCACAGGCTGTAGAGCCGAGCTGCAGACACCACCACAGCCTGAAATAAGGTTTGTGAATATCTCCATTTTCACTTCCTTGTTTTTCCTGGCAACATCCCCTTGATTACCGTGTCTACCCATGGTGTTGAAACTAAGCTTTTTGGCCAGGTATGCAAGGCTTTGAGACCAAGACGTCAAAGAGTATCTGACTCTTCTGCAGACTGGTGTCCTGCAAGGAAGGAAGTCTTAACTTCTGATTTCTGTTCTCATTGCTCTTTGTTTATGTTGTCCAACAGCTCTGCTGTGCAAAATGCATGGGCAGCTCCAGAATAGTTTTGGAGAAGTACCTTGTGCTGTGCTAGGCATGGAAAGGAAATGATGCAGACTGACAGCGAGCAGGAGGCGTGTCATCAAGGTATTCCCGACCTAGGCATAATTTTCATCCACGCCCAGGGTTTGAAGGTACAACCAATTTTTGAACTGGCTCACACGTCAGCTGAGCCATTCAGTGCATTTTTTTTTTGATTTAAGCCAAGACCATTGTTAGCTGATCACTGCAGAAGGCACATAAGAAACGAATACAGTAGCTTCCAGGTGGTTGCTTCAGCTCCTCTTCACCATCAGAGGTTAACATCCCAAAGGTGAGGCAGAAGAAGAGAATCCGGAGTATGCTTCACGTCTTCTATGTCAGTATCATAAATTGTAATTTAAAGCACTGGTGGTGGTGCTTTGAGGTTAACTCTGCAAACTGCACAGGGGGTCCTCAAAGGTTTCATTCTGCCTGGGGAGTTTGGGGGCTTGGTCACCTACAGCCAGTGGGCAGTACCTGGGGGACTGCAATCGGTGCGGCTCTAGCTGGAAGTGTGAGTCTGCTCAGGTCTTCAGCTACATCTGAACAGCTCTAACTGTGCAACTCTGGGGCTAGATTCCTCGAATATATGAAGTGTTTGCTAACATGTTGTAGGTGCATCACCTCTTCATACTTGCCTTTAGACAAAGGCCGAGTGCTTTTACAGAGACTAGCACAGCGAAGAGCTGATCTCAGCTGGAGCTTCTAGGCAATTATCGTGGAAGAATGAAAAGATGTTAAAATACCAGGAGAGTAATATAAACTAAGCATATTTGTGATCCTCAGAGCTCATGGGTACCCCATTTTGCTGACTTTGGAAAACTTTTCAGAGAACTTGAATTCAGTCTTTTCCTTCATAGGTAAATCAAGACTTATATATATATGATTTGTGTGTGTGTATATGATACATATATATATATATATACACAATATATATTTAGGAGTAGAACAGCTGTTTCTACTCCTCCCTAATCTGCTTGCTGGAGTGATGCACGTTCTTTCCATTATGCTGGTGCTGTAGCCGAGGTCAGAGAATAAAAGTAGGCTGTGGCCTGGGTAAATGATCACCCTATGCCTTTAGCTGTTTTCAGGATTACCTGACATATCCATCAGACAGAGTAATCATGTTGTTGGTATCATTCCCTTTCTTGTTTTTCAATATACAGGCGCTATTTCTTCTTTCCCCACACATGGAATCACTTTCAGGTTTCAGTGCCAGATGCTTACAGATGGATGTCCCGTGCTCTGAACTCAAAATCAGCATCAGCAGGAATTTTAGAGATATGGGTGTTTTGAAACCCAAAGGGTCACGAGTTCTTCCACTACTCTCTAACAGAAAGGTTTTTTTTTTGCTTTTTGGAGTCTGTTGTGCAGTTTCCTTTCCTCCTCAAGCATCGTTTCTCAGCTTATTTCCAGAAATAGCCTTCGTATCTTCTGTGGAGAAGATGGGTTTTAATATGCAAGGCCACCACCTTCTTCTTCAAGAGCTCTGAGTACTTTCACAGTTTTTTGGAATAGCTGATGGTATCGTTAAGCTGTAATTAATATTCTTCTGGAGTCGATATCCTTGTAATGGATAGTCTCATTTCCCTTCTGCAAAGCACGGTAACGTCTCCCTGAGAGCTGGTTTTCATGCACTGGCTTCAGAAACAAACTGGTTTATGAAGTTCTTTCCACTTCACAACTGTGCTTCACAGCTCCTTCGGTGGTGCTGATGCATCTGTTTTTAGAATTGAATCACTGAATCACATTAATTGGAGGGAAGTAATTTTAAAAGGGATCATTTCAGTGATGCAATTTACATTGCGGCTATATAAATAGGTTTATTAGCACAGCTGAGGAGGAGGCAGATTGCACCAGGAGGATCAGAATTAGCAACTGGGGTAGAAAGCTCAGTTGAGGGAAAATGACTCAAGTGTTGTTACAGGAGCTGAGCTGTTTCCTTTGTTTTCTGTTGCTGGAATTGCCTTCCTGCTCCACCTCCTGCCCTCTTCCCCTATGTTAGGTATCCATTTCTTAAAGGCTTTTGTTCCAAAGTGCTGAAACCATTCATCTGCGGTATGAAGGTGTTTGCTTCCCACATCGGCGGCTAGCAAAGCGACTTCTCTGCCTCCAGACATGACGAAGATGATGGTGGCCCTCTTGGTTCTTCTTCCAGGCCTCTGCTGGGGAACTGTAGAAGGAAAACGTGCCCAGGCTGAGCAAATCTCTGTGTGCTCGGGGTCAGAGAATTTCATCTGGGTTGTTTCTTTGGGGAGGGTGAGAGGAATCTCAAGCAGCACTGCTTGCCATTCATTTGAAGACCAGCTAAAAGGACAGCGCTTCCTCCAGCTGCACCTTGGCGTGCCTTGTGGTGTGAAAGGGAGGGCAGTGTGCCTGTGCCCTCTGTTACTGCTGGGCTTCCACTTGTGTTGGTGTTGCACAGCGTGCTGTGAAGACTGCCCCTTACCAGGTCAGTTTACCTGTGGAAGGCCATTCACACATCCTTGGTCTGAACACTGAAAGGTGATAAAATAGGGCAAATAGACATGCAATAACAAAAACAAAAACAACAACCCAAACCACCTTTTTGAAACATTTCCCCCAAAATATAATGGCAATGGGGACAAAAAAAAAAAAAAGCTTTCAAAAATCATTCTGTGAAGGTGATAGCAGCAAGCCTGCTACAAGTGCTTGAAAAGCCGAGTTACCCAAAATGCAAAACCATCTGCCTGTCATATGGCTAATGACACACAGCAATTCTCCCTGGGTTTTTGCTTGGAAGAAGTCAGGAAAAAAAAAGAACTAAAACTTGCTCTGTTCTGAGTTTCTCTAAGCAAGCACCGTATTTCACTTGCTGTAGAAAATGGTCTTTGCAAGAGGCTTTGTTCCTTACTGATGTTTTGCTACCAGTGAACTAACCATACAAAGCAGGAAACAAACCCAGTCTCTGAAGAAAAAAAACAAAACACCTTTTCCCACTGTTCCTTCATTCAGGATATTTTGCTCCAATTAGCTTTGGATTGCACTTGTCTTTTTGGCTTCACAGTCTCTCTTAAAATGAGCTTCTCCTAGAAGGTTTTCCTTTATTTGCTAACCAGTGTTTGAAAAATGGGTCTGGGTTTGAACTATTATTGAATCATAGAATATACTGTCAAACCTCTGACAACAATCTTTATTAATCGCATTGTGTTAAGTTGTGTTTCTGAGAGTAATAAATAGAATTTGTGTGAATAAGGTGTGTGTTTTTTCCTGCTTCTCTGACATGAATATGCTTGGGCTGCCAATGACTAGTCAATATGAAAAAAGAATAGTGTGGTGGTGGGAGGGATTTGCTTGGATGTTTTTTTATTCTCTCTCTCTTTTTCCTTTTTTCTTTTTAATAAATTCAGGGAAATGTGCATATACAGTTGTATCATTTGTGTCTACAATTAAGATAAATGTGGGTGGAAAGGGTCACATATCTTTAAAAGAAGTTCTAACACAGTATTGAAAGATAGGCATACTTGGAGAAATATTAAAATCTTAGCTTTTTTTCCCTCCAAAAAATGTACAGATATACAACTGACTTGTCTTCATTCAGAAATCCATGGCATCTTTTAGAAGGAAAATGGTTAAAGAAAGCAAAATTGTATGAAAGCTTCCTCTAGCAGTTGTAAGACTTGGACATGTTCTTTTTTTGGTGGTGTTTAAATTAATAACCCCAGCTGGAATTTGGAAAAAAAAATTAAAAAAAATTGGAAGACTCCTACCAAGGTTTCTTTTATCCTTAACAGTTGAATCACCAATGCAGTCAAACTGTTTAAAGTATGGTTGTCAAGGACTGTGAGAAAGTGTTGTCCAACAAACAAACATAATCTGGTGAAAATATGTAAATGTGACTTGTATTTAAAGAATTATGAAAGATTGCAAGCTAAGTTACTATAGTACAGAGTCTGAGATTGCTAGGCATGCCACAGTTAAATTAATTTTACATATTTTACAAAATCTGTTTTAGCATTTCCACTTTATTCTGCCATCGTTTATTTTACTGCTGCAAGAGAAACTTGCTCTCATTTTTGGCATTTCTTCCAATAAGAGTTATTGTATTCAGATAGTTCTGAACTAGTTACATTTGTATTAAAGCCAGTCGAAAGAGAGGAAAAGGCAGGTATCTCTTACAGCTGGCACTCAGTTCACTCAGTTAAATCCAATATCCTTTGGTTTTGGCTCTGCAGTGGCTCCTAACCCAATGAAGGCCATTGGTGTGCTAACGTACAGTGTCTCATGTTTAATGGTTTTCTAAAATGTGTTCTTCCTAGGTCTACAGACAAGACTGTGAAACCTTCGGCATGGTAGTGAAGATGCTAATTGATAAAGATCCGTCGTTAGAGAAGTCCATTCAGTTTGCTCTGCGGCAGAACTTGCACGAGATCGGCGAGCGATGCATTGAGGAACTCAAACATTTCATTGCCCAGTATGATGCCGCCAACCAGGAGTTATCGGAGTCTTTCAAGGATGGCCCCTACTAAGGACAGAAATACAACTTCAGGTCTCTGCGTTTTGTAGGCTGTAATACATAAATCTGCTTTCTGTGGGGAAAGAGGAGTTCCAGCTGGAGATCTCAACCCAAGGCCCGTGCTCCTTCCTACCACCTAAGACGGCTGTACCTTGTGCAGCGCAGGCTCCGCAGTTGTGCTCTTCCTACCTGTACTTCTTGACATAGATTCCTTTGAAAAGGATCTTCTTTTCAAAAACGCCATATAGGGACAAACTATTTTTGCAACCTTTACACAGTTACCGAGGAAAAACTGTTCAGTCTGATGTATGTACACTGCTGTTTTGATGTTTGTAAGTGTAACTACAAAACGACATTTTTTATTAAAATAACATGAAGCAGCTCTTCGTTCCTCAACTTACGCAGAAATATGTCCTGGTTTCATATGTACGATAGGAAGGGAAGACCTGCAGAATTGCTCACAGCTATGATTTAAGTTATTTATTATAGTTTAATTTTGAACTTCACGTTCATTCTCTAAAATTGCACCAGGGGTTGTTCCTGGTCTTGGGCTGCCAGAGAAACCCTGCCTGCTTGATGCAATAAGTGATGTATTTTTTGTTCTACTTGCAGGTTCTGCAAATGCCTTTTATATTTTGGTGTTTTTTGTATCATAAGCCGTTACTAGTAAGCAGTATTATGTAGAATTAATTCCATTTTTCTGTTAGTATTTGCAACTAAATGTTTTCTGTTTTCTTGTTTTTTCTTTTTTTTATTTCTTTTTTTTTTTTTTCTCACTATCCCTTACAGAGTGTAACTGCAGGCAGACACTGAGCGAGGCAAGGTCTCCTCTTTTGCCTTTTTCTCCTTTTTGCCTTCTCACCACGTTTCGTGCATCAGTTTTAATAACTATGAATCTCTAATTGACAGGAAGGGGCAGGAATGTGGGGTGGCAAGGTGTGGCATGGGCTGTCTCTTTATTTAGTAACTCCAAGTTGCTTCAGATTAGGTATAATGTGAATGTTGAACCCTAAATAGGCCCCAAATTGATCATTGTTTCAAACCCAAATGATTCTGGGTAATGTCTGCAGCCAGTTTTGACCTGATAGTTACTGGTAGCTGGGGAGAAATGGTTGAGTTAGAGTCAGGAGGCTGCCAGTGCTGTGTGGTGACGTTTTAGAGGTGAAACATAATTTAGGATTCACTGGTGGTATCCTGGCTGTTGATTTGTGTTCACTTAATGAGATCCTGTTTTTTATGAATGTTTGGGGAAGGGAGAATTGAATCATAATCACAAAGAGGTAAACATGAGTGTTTTGTATACGTTTGTATTTAGAAACTTGAAACTCTGTAACAGGACAAGCGACTAAAGCTCTCCCGTCCCAAAGTGCACGGTATTAAATGAAAAAGTCTCCGAATTCAGCCCCTTATCGAGTATCTCCTAAGGTTTCAGGGGAATGCTTTGCAAGAAAGTAAATAAAATGGCAGGGATTTTGCATGTCCAAGGTGCTGTATATATCACAGCATCTAGCACATGCAAATCTTGATACGGTGCGTTAAATGTCTATGTTACATCAGATGCCTGAGATGCCCGATTAGTTTTAATGTCAGCTGGGTGTGGTTTTGCAGTTGGCTTTTGTTGGGTTTCTGAGGAGTTCACGTTGCTCAGAGGGGGTGACCTGCAGCTTACCCCGCTGGGGGAGGCTCAGCGAGCCTCCTGGGTGCTAACTGCGGGTGGGAGAGGGGGAGGAAAGGCAACGTGGTGTGGCGCAGGAGCTAGACCTCAGCCACCCCTTCTGGCAACAGCCGGGCTTGCCAGGAGCAGTCAGGAAACCACAGGCAAATGTACATCGTGTTGCTGGGACAGGAATGTAACCGTCAGGGCTTCGCTGCTTGCCCGTGGGCAGGTCAGTCTTCAGGGTGTTACAGCGCAGTTTCTGCTTTGGGGTAGAAACACTAAAGAAAAAAAAAATGCTGAGATCATGATTAATATATTTTTGAGTTAAAAGGTTTGTTATTGTACATGGTGTTAGGAGTCTCCTTTGTTTTCCTAGTGAAATTTAATCAGGTTTCTAAAAGTGGCTGATTTTTCAGGTGTCTTTCTAAAAAGGGACACCTAAGCCCCCAATACTCCTGTGTTGTTGTGGGGAGCTGATAGGTCAGTAAGGTATTTAGGGTGTCCTTAGCGTATTATTTTTTTTAATGGATTAAATTTTGCTCATAAACTGAGGAGACTTCTGATTTTTTAAAATAAATGCTATTTCTATGAAAGGTTTAATTCACATTCATGGGTGATGAGTAAGTGGTTTTTCCCTGTTTAGTACTTGTCATTACGTTGAATGCTCATGTCTGACCTTCTGTGATGTACTCTTCATGTTGATGTAAGTAAAATGTTACGCCACTTCACTTGAGCAAGATACATGGCTTTTACTCTTGCTTCCTGTAGGAATGAATACTTGGAGTTTGATTTTATAGCAACTGTGCAAGTTGTCCTGGGTCTCGTGTACAGCCTCAGTGGGGCTGCTGGAAAGGGGCAGGAAGACCACTGGTGGAAGGAGCCGGATGCTGTGCTGCAGGAATCTTGCTTTGTCACGTTAGGAGCTGCTGAAAACAAAACATATTCCTCGCACCCATCGGTGTGCAGATGCCCTTTGAAAGGGGAAAAGGAAAGGGAAGGAATGAAGAATGAAGTGTGGACATTCAGTGTTACCTGCTAAGACTGGAGCAATCTCAGTGGTGAGTTGGCAGCTTTGGGTGACAACTTAAGCAGTTAGGGTGAAGATCAGCAATGAGTCACAACGAATAGAAGAGGAGTTAATGCTCCCCATGAAGAACTGCTTCCTTGTGACCGTGCTTTTTGTGCAGGATTTCCTCTTTTGGTGGGGATGAGGGTAATGTATGGCCCTGACTGTTTCTCACTATCTGTCGTGAAGGTGTAAGCTCCTCTTGGAATATCACACCCCTTCTAATAACACGAAGTAGAATTTACAGTTTGGGTGAAATAGAAATCTTTTATGTTAAGCTGAAAAACCTAAAACGTTGTATAGCCATCTTCAACTTAGTGAATAATATTTCAGGTGGATGGAATTACAAAACACTAGCCCCTGTTTCATTAAGCGTGGGTGCAAGCACCTCTTATTCTTCACCTGCCATGAATGTCTCTGTGTTTCAGTCCTCAGAAAAACACAGTTTTCTGAATGTTTCTCATGTTCTTAATTACTTGTGGTCCTGCAGCCTAGGAGAGGCAAGGGAGAGCTTTGTGCCTCACAGCAGAGAGGGCTGGACGAGCTCCGGAGGAGTTGCTGACCCAGGGGAAGGCAGCCACGCTGCAGCACTGCTGCCCTGGGCACCATGCGGTGCAGCCTTACCCTCCCTGACGAGGTGTGCTCACGAGGGAAAAGAGTTCATGGCTCTTGCCTTGGGCTGGAAAGAATCGCTGCTCTTTGGTTAGCCGAAGAGCAGCACTGCATAATACAAACAAAGGTTTGTTTCACCCCGCTCCCCACACACACATACTTCTTCTTGCACAGATGTGCCTCTATTTATTTATTATTTTTTTTGAGTAATACTGAGCCCTGAGAAAAGGCCTCTATCCACTTCCAAAGCTTCCAGATGAAAAAAAATAATAATAGAGTGGTGGGAAGTGGGGAAGCATCATTAGTTACATCACTCATTTTAAAGTACCAGGAGCCTTTGTGAGAGCAGCGTTTACACTGCCCCAGCAATGACACCTTTAGTCCAAAGTTATCCTTGGTGGGTTTGTTTGTTTTATGAAGGGGAAGGGGAAGAGATTTACCTTTCAGCTCACTTACTTGGAGGTTTAGAGGGAGGTACTGTGCAAGTTAATGCTCTGAAGATAGCTTATAAAGGGTACTAGGGCTGTGACTGTTGCTTGTTAACTTTTTTTAAACAACTATTCAACAATCTACAGGAAAGTGTTTATCATCTAATATGCCATAAGCCTTTGCACTTTGGGGGCGGGCACGTGCTGCATCCTTAGATGGTGTAGGATCGGAAGACGGAGTGGTGGGGATGTCTCTGCACGAGCCACTTACTCCAAAGTGGACCCAGCGGCAGCAGCAGAGCTTGTTGTTTCAGAGTCCTGGTTCCCTGTATCTGGAAATGCAGTTAGGAACGGAAAGTCCCAGTCGCTGTTCAAGTATCCCAAGCAAGGCATTAACAAGGCAGTTTCTCTTCTCAAGCCTTCGAAGGCCTCACAGGCTGGCTGTTGGCCTGTTAAGCACAACAGGCATTTAGCTGCTAGGAAAGCAAATACTGCCTAAGCCACCAGGGCAGCCTGCCAGCTGGAAGCAGCCCACGCGCCACCCATTGGCCCATACGATGCTGCATGATACTACTTTGATCAGCTTTCATGTACACAAGACTTGTTTGTACTAGAAAAGTGACTTATATGGTGAATACCACCTCTGGGAGTAAAGGATCTATTGCTTATTTTACCCTGAAAATATCAGCCAGTAACTGCTATTTTGGCTTGGCCTTAGCAAGACCTTCCTTTTATTTGGTGTGAGCACTACCCATGTGCCTTCCATCCCTTAGGTCTAGGTCCTCTCCGTTTCAAGAAGTTACAGGCCTCAGAAATAGGCAAACAGTTCATTTGGTCAGGCCTTTTATACCTGTAAGAAGTAAGTACCTGTTACTTCATTAATTACCATTGTTCAGCTGAGCAGAAAGCCTATGGTTTTACTATTTACTATTTTAAGTCGCAGGTGTCTGCATTAATTCCAGTAAAAACATTCTGCCCTAAAGTGCAGAAATGCTTAAAACACTGATAAACTTATTTTAATGTGAAATAGCTCCTGCTCTCCACCTGAGTTCAAGGCAACTCAATTACATGCTCGGCCCCCTTGCCTTCTAGAACCACCTCACCTCTCCCTGCCTTGCTGTAGGTGAACATGAGGAACGCTTTTTGGGAAAGGAGGGGAGTAATAAGAAAGAAATCCACATCCACAGGAGTTGCATGTTTGTTGTACTGATATATTCCAGGCTTGTGTGATTTTTACATTTATATAGTTTACATTTTGCTTGACCCATAAATAACACTTGCAAGATTAAGAGGGCCATAGGTTAGAGAGTATTTACATAGCCCCACCATGCATACAGAGCTTTCAATACCTAGTAGACAAAATTAAGCTGTTTTGCACTAAACATTTTTCAATATTTTTAAACCCCCTGACTAAAATACAAGCAATATTTCATCCATAATGCTGCTGTTCAACCCCTAACAAATCTAGTTTGGTATTGTAACAAACTTCTTCAAATTCAGGGATATAAAAATATTCAGCTTTTAAAATTTTAACTGTACAATATGTACATTAGTATTTGCACTGTTAAATTATGAATACATTTAAGCCTATGAAATACTACGTTATAAATATCATTTTTTTTTGATTTAGAATTGCAACTAATACATTTTAAAACCTGGATAATACATTTGAAAAGACACAATTCTGGAGCCTAATCCTTTAAGCCCTTACGAAAGTATTTGTTATGTAAGTAGATTCATTGACTTAAATGGGGTTACGTGCCTGAGCAAAGGATTCCAGCATTTGTACCTTTCTCTTTCAATGCAGTGGAGTGGAGGAAATGACATAAAAACCATCACTACTCATTGTACTCACTGGCAGTCAGGTCCAATTCCAAAAGCTGAATTAATACCTTCCTTTAAACAGGCACAAAATAAAAAAGCTTACACAGGATGGAGTTCTTTCAAAAAAAATATAAAAAAAATAAAAGGAAAAACTTGGAAGTTAAATGTGTAAACCATTTAGTGCTGCTTTAGGATATATCAAGGCCTCAAGCATTTCAGCTCCCACATTCTGATTTTTGCCTTCTTACTAGTGGACTCTTTGGAAAAGCAGCATTTTCCCAAATTTAAAAAAAAAAAAAAAGTTCCAGTTTTTGTAGGGAAACTTCAAGGAAGGAAGAATCAGTTTTGTCAGTGAAGAAAGGACACAATATAGAGTCACCTTTTCATTGGAGAGAAGAGGAAAGAGTTGAGGCTCACCTTCTGTGGGTACAGCTACAGTACAAGACTGACAGGTTTATTTATTGATCTTCGTTGACTCCCCTCTCTCAGATAACTGAACACAGGTGAATTGAGAGCATGAAATAAATGTCTACAAAAAGTCTGTATCAAGAACTGCAATAACAGTATTTTGACAGCTCAAACATGTAAACCTAGCAATATCTGAACAGGTCATCATTTGGCATAGTGACATTTCTGAATGTTATTTTTACAATGTAAACTCGGGTAGAGTTATCATTTACACTGGCAAAGCGTTAAGAACCTCAGCAACTTGCCTAAGTACAATTATTAATATAAAAGGACGTGGTTCCAACTGTAGCTAGAGAGTTGACTGGTCTTCCCAACCATTAAAACAAATTAAGAAATGATGCAGTTTTTCCCTTTGTGCCCCCTCTTCTTCTTTGATTTGGTTGTCCTTTGTCCAAACTGAGAACTAGATAACGCAGTAGTTTGACCAGAAAGGTCGTCTGTATAGTATGGGTATCTCAGCGAGCGCGGCTGTGGAATTGGCTGTCCCAGGAAATACCCTTCCTCTTCAGAATCAGATGATGAGGATGAAGTCGAACACCAGGAGTCATCTTCATCACCATATAATCCAAAAAATTTATCAACCACCTGATTCCGCAGTGCATAATCAGAACTCGTATGGGCGTACTGGCCGTACAGCTCCGCGTTTTGAATATATGCCCGAAACTCACGCGAGCTTTTGTTCTGAATAAATTTTTCATGATCCTGAGGAGAGTAATAACGAAATCTCTCTTTTGGAGAGCATCTTCTTTCTGTGGCCAAATTAAGTGCGTTATCTGAACGAGATTTCCTACTTCTTCGGCGATGGTGAGAAGGCCGACTTCCGCGCTCTTCGAAGTGGTAAACACGCCTACGAGTCCTTTCACTCATTGGAGGCTGTCGAATTTCAACATTCTCATAACTGCCATTATCAATAACATCATCTGAAAACTTCACTTGCTGTGGTCTAGACTGGGATTTAGATCTTCTCAGTACAGGCATGTGCACTGGCTTCTCCTCTGGTAACGCTTTTTCCTGGCACAACTCTGAGCTCAGACTCTTCAAGGACTCTGTGCTCCGGTGGAGCATGGAAGAATTCAGAGTTCCCATGTTGCTCATCTTCTCACAGTCCTCTACCTCCAGTTCTTGGAAAGTTTGCAAAGAATAGAGAGATGTCCGTGGCTTGCCTTCTCCATCCATTGAAGCCCCTGGGGTGGGAGTTGAAAAAGAAGGAAAAGGAGAATTAGAAGTGCCTTGAAGAGAGAGAGAGGTAATGCAATGAAACGTTAAAAACATTTGTTTTCATGAAAGCAGACCTTAAAGTGTTAGGCACTGGGCACAAACTGGAGCGCAGGAGGCTCCCCC